CCTATTTGAGGCAATTTATAGCTTTATTAAGACAATGAACATGGGAGGGCATGATTTGGGGTTCGGACATGGTAGTGATAGTTTGAGGGGATAAGACGTGCCATCAAAAAATCGCATGAGATTAAGATCATGGAAAAGAGAGGTGAATTGCACTAGCTATGAAAAGTAGTTAGAAGAGGTGACGTAGAGAGGGAGTTCAGTGCTAGCATTGATTTGCTCTAGATTATTAGAGGTAGAGTCTATTTTGGATAACAATGGTGACAATGTTTTCTGTTACTGGCCTGTATCAGACCCGCCACCTTACCCGCCACGTTTCGGTAGAGGTTGTCCACACCACGCCACGCGCTAACCGAGGTGATTGCACATGGGACGAGTTGATTGTACATGAGGAGCGAACTGTACAAGCATCAGCGAAGGAACCGGACTCATCCGCAATTACACCGTAGATGCAAAGGCCCGCACTCCGCTTCTGCAACGCTTCAATGCCTCTCCTACCCTGTCTCGCCCATCAAGGATCTCGTACAAAGATCTTTCTAAAGTCAAATTCCTGACTGATGGGACGTGTGGCAGGACCCAAACGGTCAATTCAGCTGCCTTTGTCAGAGATATTCAATGCCTGTCAACCTATGGAGGGACAGGTTAACACCTGGGATAGGATGAGCCCTACAGATCTGGTGACACGTGCCTCCTCATCCAACAGTTCTCCTTTTCCCATCCTTAGTATAAATATCCCCCGTTGTGCCAGAAAGGGGATTGGATCAAGATTTTCTCCTACTACATTGCAAACTTAATTATTATCTTCTCCCTTAAATATTGACATTTTTATCACTATACACTTTATCAACCACTTCCCGGCGAGTGTTCTACCCCCGGCGAATATTTCCCTGTTAAACCATAACTGACTTGACCGTCGGAGTGCCCGCGGCTGCTCCCCACCCCTTCGAAAAAGGCCACAGGTGACTAATGGCGTGCTACGTGTGTAGGATTTACTGGCATTGTATGTATGAGAAAATGTATGTTCCTTCTTTGCAATGGGGATTGGATCAAACGATCCAAAATAAACTATCGAGCATGCAACCGTTGGGTTTTCTCCGGTTTCAAGT